CAATGTCTTTTCTAATGTTTTGCAATTTTCGTCCAAGTAGCCCTTAAGCATTTTAAACAACCTACCAGAACTCTAGGAGGAATGTAGTTATCGCCCATTGTCGTAAGCTCCAACTAAATACCAAAAATCAAAAATAACTATTTTTAAATGCTCCTACTATTGCTTTAATACCAAAGAAGACTAAATTAGTTGTGTCTCTGAAATCTGRTGGTCATTAGAGAGSATTTTATATCTTAAATATTTTATTGATTAATTTAATARTTAAAATCATTTCTATGATTGAACCTGTTGCTCAGTTTTCCATTTGAGGTTTGTTATGTCATCTTGGTACATTTCAAAACTTTCTTTTGTTTTGTCACCTGATAAAATAATATAAAGAAAACTATTGACATGTTATATCTCACAACTTTTAAYRCAAATGYTAGWTATTTCTTYACCTATTTTCATATTTTTGTCCAAYACATGAGCCTTTGGTGTTGATTCTTTCCAGGCTTTTCTGTATTCAATTTGCTGTTTATCTGATTGATCCTCATCACTATCATCATCATCATCATTTGAGGCTGTTTTTATGTGCCTTCCGTCAGGGTTGTCCAAGTGTTGACGATACTTCCTAAAGAATTATAGTTTGAACCTCAATGCAAAGACGAATCAAAAACCACACTTGACTAGATAGTGGTGAGAATAAAAACATCAAAAAACAGTTCTTTTCATAACTGAAAAAAGTTATGCTAAAATACATCTTTTACATTTACTTTTGTATTATTACGGCAGCTTTTTGTTGTTCTTCTAAATCCTTTCTGACCTGGTGCCCTCTGACATGCCTGTTAAAGAATAACGAAAACTATGAAAATGTGCAAAGAAACATGCCATGAAAATGAAAGAGAGTACTAAATATCAATAATTTCTGGTTGAATGAAAATGCTGTTGAAATAAGTCCTTTTGAAAAACTGCAAGAAATTTATGGAAACTGATATGTACATGTACGTTTGTTTATTATAATAATGGTAATTGTAAGTTTTCCTTACAACAGATATGTGTCTTACTTTTGAATTATTGATGCAGCTTTTTGCTGTTCTTGTAAATCCTTTCTGACTTGGTGCCCTCTCACATGTCTGTGTCAATAACAGAATGTACATTTAGCAATGTTATACTAATCTTACTCTTAATGACATAGTTTGAAATCAAATTCTACATCACACATCCTTTCAGATCTTTTAGCCGTTTCCTTTWACGAAAAATTCTACCTTTGTATAACAACTGCAGCATCATTAGGTTGAAGTGGTGTAACAATGGCATAACTGTGGCTGTTTTCTTTCTGACTGTTATTATTTATTTGTGGGTATAAATTTTTACTTGTYGCTACATCATAGTCCACCCCTCTTGATGTAACCACACCCTTGTCTTGGAGAGCATGTGTSGAYGTTCCAATTACCCCCTCCCCCCAAGAGGATATTGCTACATTGGTGCTGTTTTCATTCACAYTTGTTTCATTGATGGGCTCAGTTTCAGTTAGACCTGTTGAGGAAACAAAGAATAAAATGTCAATATGAACATTATTTTTCTTTTAAAAAACATTGTCAGGGAGAGCCATTTAAGACTGTATAGGCTTTAGTACTCTTTCCTTTAATACAGAATTCTAGATATTCAGCAACAAAACTGAGATATACAGAAAAACTCAATCAAAATAATTCGCGTTAATAATATTGATTGGGTTGCCTGTGTATGAAATACGATTATTCATGCATACTTTATTCATACTTACACTTATTAAATTAAATAAGAACTTAATTAAGTGAATCTCGCTTTAATAAAGTACATACACTYTTTTTATGAATTACCTCCATTGACGGAATCAGATGGTTGTTTTGGTTTGAAAGCATTGACAGCTCTGCAAAGATAGATTCAAAGTAAACAACTCAAATATTTACACCATAAAAATGTCATGAGTTTACCTTCACTACAATTACTTAATAACTTACATTGCTTTGTGTTCAACTCGTGATTTTCTTGGCTGTTTGCGAGAAGAAACGATAGCTCCCATCTGATGTGTCTACTTGGAGTACTCTGTAAGATTGATAACTTATTAACACTTTATAAACTGGAACTTTAACCTCTGTAAGAGGACGTAAATTATGACGATAATCCTTGAATGTTTTAGATGCGAAACCTATGTAAATCACTCGTTCCGACCCTGCAATTAAAAGCTTCAAAAGCTTTGTAGTATTAGCTTTACACGTGTTTACGTTAACGCAGTCACTTGGCGACGGACTGCACTCAAGCGTAACAGATGAACGTAAAATAACTGAGCACTCTGGACAACGTGTTTGAATCAAGAGGTTTTTTCCTCGTTATTACTACAGTAAACTTTATTATATGTTTTTTTCAACGTTTCATTTGCAAAATGACTGCATGCTGGACAGTGTGTTTGAATACAGAGTTTTTTTAGTTTTTTTCAACGTTTCATTTCGGGTAAAGTAAAAATTTTAAAAGAAATTTAGATATTGAAATTCAAAGGCCACCGTCGTTTTTTCCGGTTTTGTGTTCACTTAGAAACTCATGAAAACCTTTCAACTGTTCCTAAACAATTGGAACTTACAGGCCTTTTAGTGGCTTCCAAGAATTCTGTCAATCAAATCAAGTTCTTTCATGTGATTGGAACATTCAATACACCTTATAGTGAACTTTTACTGCTCTGATTGGCTAAGATATAGAAGCACTTGAAAGGTTTCTTTCGCCGATGCGCGCGTGTACTCGGTCGGTCACCTTTCAGGTTTCCAAATGATGGTAGGTGAGGATTTCTGAAAAAGGCGAAAAAAAGCAAAAAAAAAACAAAACAAAACAAAACATTTTCAGTTTCCCAAAAAAGTAGTCTACAGTTTTTAGACGAAAAGAAGTCCCGACTACTTGCGCTGTTTCAGGTAGGAATTCTTTTGGATTTCCTTCTACATTTATTTTTTTCTTGACTATAGATATTTTAAAAGTTTATAAAGTTAGCTTGCATCACATCAAAGTTATCATTATAGCCCGGCGTTATACAACTGTTCCGTATTTGTGGCAAAAGTTCTGTTGGGTTAGAAACTGAAAGGATATCTCTAGCGGCTCTCAAATAAATTCTTATCAAACAACAACGACTCAAACAGGACTCAAAGGAATTCCAGTGCAATGTTTATTATTTATACTTTATAGCATTTCCTTAAATATGTGTTGTTATTATTATTAAAAATTATATTCCTAAGGTTTCTTGAGCTTTGAAGATCCAAATAGAAATTCAAGTATTCGATCTAGTAGATAAACTGCTACAATGTCCGCAGCCAGAACATATATGAACTTTTCACGGAACTGAAAGAAAGGGAAATAAATAATAAAAGAATGAAGTCAATTATAYCCAAAATAGTATAGTATGCACGTACCTTTTGAGGAAATGGAACAATTTCAAATTGTTGTGCYACTTCGGGTATTTGACCCATAATTAGCAATACTACAAATCCTCCAGATGCCAATAAACTATATATTAACGGCTTGTTTTCTACWAGACTTTCCATGAATGGATGACCCTAAATGTAATACAATTTAWAGTGAAAAGTTAGCTATCAGTAACCTTAACTATCAATGTTATAGACCCCTTGCAGTTCATGGGAAATCAGCTCCAACTAGTTCCCGAGAGGGAAAAAATCGTTTGTTTTGTCCTCCAGATGAAGCCGCTTTGACATCTTAAGTTGATAAAACTCATCAAARCATGTCTGCTCTTTAATTTGATGATTTAATATACCATAATATTAAATTGTAGTTACCTTGTAGTTAATAGCAAATGTGAGAAGTTGCAGTGCAATGGATATTATATATACAGTACTGTTGAGAATTGTTGGTTCAAACTTTGACTCCAAGTTGACAAARTGAGCAGCACTGAATAGAAAAAGYTTTGTCAGACTTGACATCATTTGGGTTACTTGAAAAACATGTAGTTYTAACATTTTTTAACAAAGTTTAAATACAAGGTTGMRGTTTACCTTGATGGCGTGAGTCTYTTAGCTTCTTGTACCATAACAAACAGTGCCATGAAATGGACGGCAAACTGCAACAACACGGTCACAATGGTGTAGATGTTGAAAATATTTGGCAGTGGACGTTGTTTGGASAGCACCTTTAAAGGCTGAAAAAAGAAGATTTGGAATACTATGTTTGAGGTAAAATGCTATATCCTACTGTCAATTAATTTGCTTTTGCATTTATTCAGTCAGTCATTTGTAATTAGTCAGTATTTAAGGAATTTTTGTTGATTGTCGATTAAGTTTATTGTTACCTTTGATCTTGAAATAAATAGAAAACAACCAGCAAGAAGAACACCTTGCAATGTAGCTTGACTGAAGGAAAACCAAAAAGCTTTAATTCAATATCCTTAACATAATATTACAATAGGTGAACTACAAATTCTGTYTGATAAGTGTTTAAGCACAGAACTCAGAGTTGCAGAGAATCATGTGTGTTTCCTTGAAGTTCAAAAGTTCTATGTGTTTTGCTCTGCACTAATGTGAATTGAGCACTGTTCAACCACTTCAGTTACAAATTTACTCAGCTCATACATGATATCATATATAAAACAACGTACCCATCACTGAACTTGATTCCATCCAAATACAAAACACTTTGACTGTAGGCCAGAATTAAAGCATTTAAAGCCAGAATTTTAAACATTTGTAGAGTGGTAACTAAAGTGCATCGGCCTTGTTTTATAATATGACAGACTATAGAACAAATCAAACAATACATAAAAGTTTAGTATCACAGTGCATTAAAAATGACAATCAAATTAGCAATAAAACGAGYCAAAGGTGAAGGAGTGATGATTGAATTACCAACTACCGTAATTTATTGTGATCTAACCTGCATGATTGACAACCTTGAGCTGAAGGCTGTCAAATGGTTACTTATMAAGTACAATCATTTATAAGTYATTCTGGTCAGAGCGACWCTCCTCRCWGTAAAAGTGTTGTATCAATGTGTGAGTAATTCTATTTCTATGTCTTTCTTACCACAGTTRATGGAGGATAACTTGGAGGTAAATGGTGAAGCAATACATGCATCACCAAGCTGTACAATCTGATTGCCATCCATCTCATCTATTTCTTTCAACATTTCTTGTAGCTTTTTCTTTAAAAAAGAATGACATAATTTTTAAGCGAAATTTGTCCTGAAGTGTTTTTCAAGTAACACCATAATCACCTCGGATTCATTTCTCTTTCAATGGATGCTTACAAGTGAACATCCCTCCGTCATGAATAGTATGAGACACGAATGCTAGTAATCATCCCTCATGTATAATAACAAGTAAATTCAAATTGTTCTCCACTAACCTGGGGATCTGGTTTGCCWGCTGTGTCCTCTCCTCTAGCCACAGCTCTCATTTTAGCAGCACGTGATGTTCCTCTGGCTTGTGATGCATTTACTCTACTTCTTGATACTATGGTAATGTCATTACTCTTTTCCTTGTCTCCATGCTAAAAAAAACATGAAAAAGTGACAATAGTCCACTTTGCGGATAACACAGCTATTAGAAATTGAGCAAAAATTGAAAAAATATTACCACCACTGGGAAGAACAGTATAAAATTAGTATGTTTACCAGGTTTGAGCATGATTTGATGAAAATTCAAGGAGAGCGTTTAAAAGTCGGCAAAATTTACAAGGAAATTTATGGGCTATCGGCATGAGATTGAGGTTGACCTTGACTTGTTACAACCTTGCCAAACATTTCTATGCAAAATTTAGTGTTTTTGAAGTGCTGTATCTCTTTTAATTTAAATCAGATTATTTTCAAACTTGGCAAATTTGCTTATTTTATGATGCTCTTTCCAGTGATGTCAATGATTTACCATAACGACGTAATGTAAAATTTCGAATTATCCGCGAAGTGGACTATTATTACAAGTTAGAATAAAGAGAGCTCAGAAGCACAAAGGCATGACCTTTTGAAAGATTTTGAGTAATATTTGATACTTTCAGGTGAATTAAGGAAGTAGGATGGTAAATAGGTTACAAATACAAACCGAATCAGATCCTGTATGTTTTGTACTCTCTTCTTTATCCTTATKCTTGCTTTTTTTCTCATTCATGTGCTCTGGTGCACCAGAAAGTAGYGCYACTCCTGCAAAACAATCATTTRTCAGTAWTATGRTAATWATTATTRTCACAGCARCCATGTTGGTACTACYTGAACAAACCATTTCTCATTTTAGTGTGTATTTTTTTTATACCAGCAACATGGCTTTTGAATCATAATGAAAGACTTGCAGTTTTGCCAGCACTGTCATTATTATCATCATAATTATCAGAAATGATTGCTACTGTCCATTCTTTACTCAGCCCCCTCTCCAATCCCCTTGGTGGTGGTAAACATCTGAGAAAATGTAGTGTAGAAATGCTCTTATAATAATACATACCACAGTGTGCATGTTTTAGAGCTCCAACATCATTAGTACCATCACCACACATGAGGGTCACATAGCCCATATCTTTAAGTTTGGTTACAACAAGTTCCTAATAAACCAGAACAACATTTTTGGTACAGAATGGTTTAAACACATTAATTGCAGAAAAATGTGAGCTCCAAATAAAATAATGCCTTCTCTAATGCACAGCTGTTAAAAAACTTTTATTTTTACCTTTTGTTTTGGAGAAACTCTGGCAAATACTCTTACACAAGGGAGTATTGATTCAAGGAATTTTAATGTGTGTGAATGAGAATAAAGGTAGGAAAACGCCTAAAACACAAATTTATTAGGTAAGTGCAAATTCATTTATACATAAATAACAACAAAAATTACAGCTGTTGGTAATTGTAATACCTCTCCAGTTAGACACAAGTCATGYTTTGATGTAAAGTTGCGTGGGCCAGATTGTGGGATAAGGGGAAGCTTGAAAGAGCCATCAACRGGCTCCCAATGCCATTCGTCCTCMACTGAAAAGAGATCAACAGTCATAAAGGTTAATAATTAAGTGAATTTTCTTCTTATATTTCATCTACAATACCACAGCAATACTTGRGGAAAACATGTATGGTTTTGAAGCTTTTTAAAACTCCTATTGATAACACATAATTCGTATCCTTAAAAAACTGAAGGTAATAACTCTAGTAATGTTCATTCAGTATGTCTATTATGTGACCTAAGGTGATATTGACACTAAGCGCATCTTACCGCTATGATTAGTACTTGAGGACGAGTGTGTTAAAACAAGTGTTTCTTTCCTGGTAATGCGCAATTCTTTGGCAACATGGCAGGCAGTTAATGGATTGTCACCAGTGATCATTGTTACCTGAAAATATTTCAAAGTGCATCACATACCATGTATTTAATTTAAAAAGGAACAGAAAAAAGGATTATTTATCAAGTAAATACAACTTACATGGTGTGATGATTCTAGGACTTGTTTGATAACATTCTTGGAGTCACTCTTCAGTGGACAAGCAATAATTACAAATCCTACAAACTCAAGTTCACTTTCAACTTCTTCACGGGTTAAATCACGGACCTGGTAAAAAAAGTACAAGAAAATTGTCTCCTTGATATGGAAGGTTGTAGTTAAATCAATGCAAAATTGGTTTCCAGGTGTGGCTTCCAATGCTTACCTCTTTTGCTGAGAGTTCTCCAAGTTTCTTGAATCCAAGAGCCAAAACTCTTGCACCTTGACATGTCATCTTGTTGTAGACAAAATCATAATTTTCTGGAACTTTATTGTACTGTTCATAAAAAAAGTACATTGTCAAAAATACATTATGTTTGTGAAAATATCAATGGAGCTGAAGCCCACATACAGTATGGTTGTTGTAGATACTAATTTGCACATTTTCCATCATCTTAAAAYTTACCATTTTCCTCAGAGTTTCAGGAGCACCTTTGACAGCAGCAAAATAGTTGCTAGTTGTAGAACCCTGTGTTTGTACTGACACCACTGTAGACATTCTCTTTAAGGCACTTGAGAAGTGAAACCTGTGGTTGATTCGCATAGTGATTCTTCGTCCTTTGTTAGGAATGACAAGGTCACCTGACAGAGAGATGAATGAAACGTCAGCTGGAAAATAATTCTTTTGAAATCATACCCATGATTTAGAATAATTGAAGTGCTTCTTGAATGGGTCAATTGAAAGGCTTAGTTTGTCCTTAATAAAGTTTTGCTGGAGATACATAACTGTTTGTTTTAGTACGAAACTACACAGCAACATAACTATTCTAAACTAAGTTAAAATGATGTTTTGTAAGTTCTACCTTTTGTAAGCCTCCAATCAACAGCATGCAGCACAGCTTTCTCCAGAGGATCSCCTACTAAAGAGTCTTCTAGACATACTAGTGAGTGACAAGAAGCAAGAACATGCAGTGTGTCTTCTGGTATTTCATCAATAGTGCTTATCTCGTCATCTTTCCTATCAAGGGACAATCAATCATACAGTTAATTTTTTTATTTTTGAGGGTCAAAATGGAAAAACAGAGAGGAGGGTTGGTGGGGAAACCACCTAAACCTCCCCCCATATGTCTATTCTCAAAACAAATTGTGGTAAATGTATGCTTACTTAAGACCAGCAACTCCTTGTACAACCAAGTTATCACTTGTCAATGTTCCCGTTTTATCAAAGCAGCAGATGTCAATTTTACCAGCAAAAGGGATCCTGAATGGCTCTGTACAGTACACAGCTTGGAAGAAAAAGTAGATAATTTACAGCATTTATCAAAGAGCATGATCCCAGCATCACAGAAAAGATGGATGTGTACGGCTATTGAACGTGTTTCTTGTTGCTGTTTTTTTCCTTTTTTTTTGATAATCACTAATTTGTCTTGTCTGATGGAAAATGTTTGCTTTCACTTGTCTCCTTGTTGACCTGTTAGAGCGGATTTTGTATGAATGTGCAAAAAATATTGCACTTTTGTGTCGTGTTTGTACCGTGGCTTAACGGTGTTGTAATCTTGGTACTTATTTATATTTGGATCACTACCAGGCGAGGTTCTGTGTCCGTAACATGCCATGTCCATGTTGTGATCAATGCCTTTGCAAAGTCATACGAAATCTGCTCTACCTTGTTTGCTTGAGTACAATTCAGTCTAAAACATTAATACATATGAGAAACCAGTGAAAGCATAATACAACAAAACTTACCCAGTTTTTGTAAAGCAATGAGAGATGAATTWACTGCAAGTGACAGCTCTATTGGTAGCTCAGGTGGAACCACAGATGTAAGAATAAGAGTACATTCCAGGAAGAGTTTATAACGATTACGATTTGGATCCTCAGTACCTGAAGTTGTTATCATAATAATAATCTCACTTTCTGGTATTTTGATGACTATAATGTATTAAAAAGCAATACAGAAAGTACTYCAAACCTTTGATCCAGACATATGATGCAGCAGTAACAGCAAAAATAAGAAGAAATACAATGAACAAAAAGGTCTCAAGGTTGTTAGCAGTCACTCTCTTTACACCAAACAAAATWGTCTTCAGTAGTTTGCCCTACAGAACAGCAAGATGTCCAAATCAATGGTATCAACAAAAAAATAATTGAAATTACAGTGTGAGCAGTTGACGTGTGTGAAGATTTCATCTTTTCTTGCTTAATAAGTACTCTGTTGATCTATGGAAATCTGTACTTACCTGAGATGTATTGAAACCAGTCCTTAGAACATATCCAATRGAGCCATTGTCAGGGGCTAAATGAAAAATATCCATATCAAATATTGTTAATAATATTCAATGCCCAGTATAAACTTTATAATCAACATTAGGTGTTGGCAAGGCAACAATAAAATCAACGGCAATGATTGATACAGGTAATGTAACATTATAAAACATAGGAGTTTATGTCAAGTGAGAGTACAGAAACTAGGGTACTTCCATGCATGACAGTGCTGTACTTTACAAAGAAAACTAACTAAATTATAAAATAAATTCCAATGAGCAGGTTCATAATAATATAGACATTATGACAACTATATTTATAACAAATAATACATCTCAATGACAAACTTATTTAAACATTAACAAGATGTATTTTCACCTTTGATTCCTGTAGCTGTTTTCAAAGGTGGTGAATGCTGTACAACTTTAGTCCCTCCAGACAACAAATGTAATTTACTATGTACATCTAAATCAAAGACGTCCTCTGTTGGCATATCCTCAATAGATTCCTACCAAACAATACAATTGTTATCCAGTGAAGGAATGAAATGATAATATTAACAGTTACATATAATATTATAACAGTTATAACAGTNTTTTTAACACGGATGGAACACTGAGGAATTTCTTGCTTCAAACAAAAAGAATAGTAAATACCTTCATTTGTGGGACTGACTCTCCTGTCAACATCGCCTCATCAACGATGCAAGAGCCTCGCAGTAGAAGAAGATCACATGGTATAAGAGTGTCAGCATTTTTGGGTCGACCTATTAAATAAAAGGTAAGTAAGCTGTATGATTTTCCTTGTAAGAGAATGATTTATTTGAGGATTTGGATGTGCCATGTTTGGTAAACAATATTAGCCATTGAACATCCATTGTCTCTCCGAACGATATGATTCTTCATAATGAGGAATACATTTCAAAATATTCCCAGTATCTTACCAATAGACACAATGTCACCAGGAAGAAGTTCATTGCTGAGTATTGGCCTCCATTTCCTATTTCTGTAAACCTAAWTTCAATGACTAAATGTTAACAATAAAACCCAATCTGAGCTCACATGTACACCTCCTGCCAGTCCACAACCCCCCTCCCCCCCAGTCCACACCCTCCTCCCACAGTCCTGTATACATGACAAGTTTTATATATTGTCATTAGTATATTATAATATTTTCTCTGATTTGTTTACTTAGCAGTAAATGAAGTGCAGAAGAAAAGCCTATCAAGAACCTGGCTCTTACTTGAATGAGGTAAGGTTTTGTGCCCATATTTCTGATTTCTTTCATGTTTTTCATTTGCTGAAAACAAAAAAATGTCATTGATTAATTAAGTAATATGGACGGCATAGCACTTGTCAAATACATTAGAAAGAAAATTAAGGTACAATGCCAAAAAAGAGTTATTTCTGGCCAAAAGACCCTTCCAAATGAATTTAGAAAGATTTATGTCTGACCTCCATGGGATTCGAACCCATGGCCTTCTAATTTGTAGAACAGAAGCCCACAATAATCAAATGTTTTCACAATCTCTGTGTTAGTTATATAATAGTAAGTAAAGTTTACCTGTTGAACTAAAGTAGCTTCAAATGCAACAAGCATGAAAAGGGTAAATAAACTGTAATACCAGTACTCATCCAAACACCATAAACCAACACAAAATACTTGGAAAACAAAAAATGGTGCAGTAGCCCGCTCCTTAAACAGCTCCATAAAGCTAGGCACATCCATATCCAATTGGTTCTTGCCATATTTGCTACGTGTTTTAATYAAGATCTCTTCTTCTTGATAGCCTTTCCAATTTTGATAATATTCAAATGTTTCATTAATAGGAAAGTCAACTGGACAAAATGTTTTCTTTTCTTCGCTGTCATAAATGTATTTAGCCTTTTGAAACCTGAACCAAATGACRTCTTGTCCTGTGTCTTTCTCCTGGTTAATAAATTAGACTTTTTTTATAAATACATCCATTATTTTCCAATCAAGCAAACAAGCAATCAATTAAACAATCACTCGACAAGATAATCCACAATATAAATCAACAAATAAAATAGGTACATGTACATGTACAATCTCATACAAAGAGCCMACACTTCTGCCATTCAGTGGAAGTCAGTGAGTGAAGGAGTCAGCCAGGGGAGTCCATTATTTCTCAATTATTTGTGATTGACTGAGAATTGCATTAGCATGCATTGTTTTCAGGTTATTTGGTTTTTAAGTCACCAGAGTGTGGTCACTTAATATTTCGCCAACCAATCAGAGCTCAGTAAATCCAAGCAGCGATAGAACAGATAACATCCCCATCCAATCACATCATAGGAGTCCCCCTCAATTTCAAAATACTCCTGAGCAAGCTTGCAATGTGATTGGCTAAGCAGTAGTATCCCTCTTTTTAATAGTTGTTTCTACTTACTTTGTCATGATGAAGGTTTAGCAACTCTGCTGATCCATTATTTGGTGTGGGAACTACTTTAATAATTGTGGCTTTTGATGGATTATTTACCTGAATGATAATATTATATCAATATAATCATAAAATAGGAATATTAATGGGAAAATGGAATAAAGGATGAATATTAAATGGGTGAATGGAAAATGGGAAGGAATTGTATGAAGAGCCAATCAACAAAAATTGACAGGAAATGATCCCATTATTGACGACTCGATGATCTTAAATGAACAACAAAGGAAGATCAGGCTTAAAACGAGCATTTCGAACTTATATGACGCTATAGCGCAATCATGAGTGTAAGCTTATATTAATTTCCAAAAAACGGAAACAATAACGTCCAATTTAAATTGTCAGTTAAAGATCACCATTACATGATACAAAACACTCACCGACGAACACGTAAAGAAAGATCGGACATGAACTGACCAGTGACAAAAAAGACCGGATAAAATTTGAAGACATCCAATGATCGCCAAGACAATGAGACCTGCTTCGAAGTATTCCTTGACGCCATACAACACTACCCATCCGTACAGCCAAACTACGTACAAGGGAATGAACGGCAGTAGATAAAAATGAAGGATCAATGGCCTCAAAGTATACAATTTTATGTATTGAATCTCGTCAGTCAAGGAAGCCATTTTGTTCTCCATTTTGAATAAGTGTTTCACGCATGCGCAATTTTTCCGCTGATCGCAGCTTACGTCACAGTGGGCGCATTTAGTCTTCGGAACAACCTTSTGCAGTCAGTTTTGATTGTTTTTACGCTTCGATCTGTAGCGAAATGGTCATGTATGGCGCTGTTTAGGTCAAGTGTTAGTAAGCAAAGGGCTTTAGTTGTAAGGACGTGTTCTGTGGCAGTGCATTATGTGCATTCGCATCTACAATACACATCAGCGTGTAGCAATTCACACGACCASGTAAGTTATAGTATGGTGCTGGATTATGCAATATATAATTCATCRTAAAAGGGTGTATCAGTCATATTGGTGTATTGTTGTTATATTGAGTGCATCTTGTGCAGTGGTAGGAAAAAAGTTGAATGTCAACAGCTGTGTATTTGTCGAAAGTTGCAGACGATAAATAAGACAAAAAACCGGAATTAAATTTGCGGTCGAATATAAATTAACTCTTACTCTTAGAAGACACATGCATCGATTTACTATATTATTAATGAACATTATATTGAGTGCAGTGTGCATATATGAAATGGAGATACAATTGTGTACAATATGGTTGTRACACATGGTCCTCCTTGTAGAACTCAAGGGGGTGGGGATAGTTAGATCACATTGTGTATGACGTAATTCCATTGGCGTCTCGATTCGTTGCATATAGAGCAGGACATTGGACCCATGTGTGACGAATAAATACAGTGTACTATATTTTCTGTTTGTATATGAATATCAAAATGTTTTTGTCTTACATTTTTGGCAATTTGCTTTTAATAGACTATAAGCTTTTTTTGMAAATGTCTGTCATCCTTGATTCTACTTTTCTATTGAACCAGCTTTTTAATTTGTTTTAGATAAAACAAAGATTAAAATTCCTGCCAAGTTATCAGTGCAAAARCAATGAGCTGAGCATAATTRAAAATRATAAGCCATCAACACCGTTTACCAACCTCCTTAAAGATGGCCGCAAAGATTTTTTTATAGACAATAAAATATCGCCAAAGACTGCATTATTGGGAGGGTCATCACCAATTGACTGTTTGACATCTCCAACCCATCTGGCATTGATGTCATTGAGCTATGATGATAAATGGTGTAAACACYTTGAGGCAGCCTACAACAAAGCAATGAAATCRAGAGAACTACTGGGCTATAGCCAAAATACTGGAGCAATCAAAAGTATTAYTAATCCATTGRAGGAGATTRATAAAGTGCACCMAGAGAGAATTMGAGTTAAAGAAAATGATGCACAMCAAGATATGTTGGCATCAAATATTGTGATGTTCAGTAATCACTGYAAAGATATTGCTAAACAGAAAGAAAAAGAGACGAAAGTTGATGACAAATGTGATCCTCTATTATTGGCAACAGTATACCAAGMTCTACGAGATGAGGTGTGTAAAACCAGCCTTATTCACCCAGCTTTTCATTATTTTTAGCAGCTATGCAAAAAGCAAAATAGTCTCCTCCACAGCCTTTTCATATTTCTGGTATCCTCTGAAGCTATGAGGCCGCTCACTATGCAGTAATTAATCAATATAATAATAATTCATGATTTGTTTTTCATTTTTCTAGCTTCCTGCATTTTTTCAAAAGGGACATGGTTATAAACATTACCATCAAAATGTAAAATTTGTAAATGGACTAACTAATGCTACATTCAGGTACTAAAAGTCTGAGTTATTTACCATTGAATCTAAGACAATCACAGTACCATATCATAATGCTATCCCTTTTCGTTTATTTTGTTTTATCTAGTGGACTGAGGACTTACAAATGTGTCATGACGTCCATGAGATTAGCAGCACAGATGTGTATGTCAGATATCAGAATGGATATACTGAAAATCACTAAAGACAGCAAAGAATGCAATGTTAAAGTACGATGGCGTGTTAGTGGAATACCAAGATATGCATCCATAATGGGAAACCCTAAAGATGAAAATAGCTGCAGGTAATTATGTTTTCAATGGAGGAAAACTCACACACAATCTGTGAATCACAATACTGCTAATAATGCTACCAGCAAGACGATTGCAGTTAAATGCGAGCAATGTTTTCAAGAAGGATTGTTTACTTTTTATTGATTTCTATACAGGTATATTGATGGATTCTCAATCTTTGATGTTGATGTCCAAGGCCTTATATACTGCCATAGATTATTAAAGGTAGTTTATATTGATATCTTTGATTGATTGACTGATTGATTGATAGTTGGATTGACAGGATGGCTGATTGGCTTATCAAATTCTTTCTTTGCTTGAGTTTTCTTTATGTTGTTAGATAGACTGATAATTCATTGTTAGATAGACTGATAATTCATTGATTAACTGACTGATTAATTTATTGCTTAATTTATTTATTGAATGATGAATTAAATTAATGTTTTGTTAGTTAATGCCAAGCCAGTCTCCTCAGAAGGATGATCCTCTCTGGGCTCTGAATACTGCTGCAGTAATTGCCTTTCTAAGACAACAGAAGTCTTTTGAAATGTTGGCACGTCATCGTGTTGAAGACATTGAGCAGACTTGTTTGCCCTTTTAGAGGCCATTTGTGGTTATCAATTCTTAAGAAATATGTCAAGCATTATTTGATAAATGTACAATAATTGAGTGTTGTATTATTATATATGCTGTTATTTWCAAACTGTATAATATTAAATTAATTTGATGATTTTAAGGTTTATCTGGTTATTATTTTAACTGCTTGAAAATAAGAATAATAAACAAGGTAAAGCCATGTACCATTTTGTTTGACTTGTACTTTAGATTCTGACTTTTGAAGCTCCATGGGTTTCCTGTGGTAGCTTGAACACAGGAACTCCAGACATTACTTTCTAAATACTGAAGTATTTGCATTAATTACATAACCTTACCAAAATTTTATGTTTTTGTCTTTGGATCATCAATATTTTTTAATTTTTATTTTTTTGGTAATGGATCTTAAGAAAGATCAAACCTATTCTTATAGTTTCCAAAGCACTTCCGGYGAAAGTACTTCCGGTAAAGATACCCACTTCCGTTTTCATTCTGTGGTGCAACTCGAAATAATGATGCAATGTTCGAAAGTGCTTGCGTCTATAAAATGGAAATCTTTGATTAAAAATACTCATTTTATAAAAGGAATTCGTTCTGAACAGCATCACTATATTGAATTCATAGGGCTATTTTCTTCTGAAAGACATGAAGAAAATTTGTAAGTTAGACATCGTATTTCTGGTCGGTCCTTTCCGCCAAAAGACTGACAAGCAGATTTCTCGAGTGGCTCAACAGCTAACAAAGTCAGTGAAAGATTGTCGAATAGCTTCAATTCATTTTGATCAAGAGTACAAAGGAACGCTGGGAAGATCTGTGTTTAGGAATTACGTCTTCGATTTTTCGAATGTTTACTCTGGAAGAGATGCAAGCCAAGGGAATCCCCCTCAATACGGATACCCACTTCAGCACGTCTCAAATTTGAGTTTCAGGCATGATGCAACRAGGATTTGCTTTCTCATATGTAAGTATGGAATGAGATAAACCTTTTATTCTTTTACATCTTGATAAGTTGGCGGTGATCAATCGAGATCTGGAAATTGAACTCCGGTGAACTACATGGCTCAGTACTCCGTAGTTCGTCAATTTAAGTTATACCCTCGCTCCAATTCTTTAATGATGGTGTGATGTGATTTTGTAAAACCTTGAAAATCTTGTATAAAAACGACAAATTAATTATTTATTAGTGCATTTTTAATGTTCAACAGTAGGAGAAGAAAATATTTCAAAATCTCATTTCATAATCACTGAAAATATTGGATGAGATACTAATACTAGCATGTGATTACTTTCCAGCCGATATGCTTCCCTTTAATGATGTCTATGAAGAAACTTTGATATACAATAATGAAATTGGTCAAGAAAATCCAGTTCATGCAGAATGGGATTCCAACGTAAACACAGAAAACCCTGCTCAAAATACAAACACTACAGACACAGAGAAAACCTCCAACAGTTCAACAAACTCACCAAATGATGCAGTCAATAGAGAACAAGATGACAATAATCCAAATGAAAATAAAGATGCCAGCAATCCACAAGAAAATCAGAGCACACACTCTTGTACAGTCACTRGTGATMTTGCTGGAACACCAAAGCCTAAAACAAATGAAGTGTACCACGAGGACCCATTGCAATCAWGCCGTYATTTGGCTGCAATGGGAGTTGTTCTMTATTGCATTGAGAATGTTCCCAATAGCATGGTATACAAGGACATGTATTCAGCACTAAGTTGTATTACTGGAGGGCAGTACATGAATATATCTGRATGTCAACTWYMAAAGGTAGCTCACRTGGACATSTATTCAATCTTTCCAATTTCCTTTTTTTTATTCATTTACTTCTCCATTWGTTCAATTACATGTTAAAGGAATGAATTGTCTTTTCCAAATGATTTGTTCATTTACTTTTCCAACATTTAGTTGTCCTTCAGTAGTATTTTGAGTTAAAATGAGAGTTGAGAAGTTTTGACTAGCAGTCAAAACTTATTTGACTTTCAACAGTAGTGTATGGCCTTCAACTCTAATTTCATTCGCTTATTGCTAAAAAAATCATGCGTTAATTTTATCATACATTTAATAAACATAAGGAAACACATTCATATTTTGAGAGCAACAAATGAACTTTTTATTTTTCTTCTCATTTCAGGCAATCACAGCTGCCATCTTGGAGGAAGTGTGTTTGGAAAGTCTTATTGGAAATGTTAGGGATTACCTCTGTGTCGCATGGTTAGCATGGGGCAGAATGARAGCAAAGAAACCTTCCTGCTTTGATGACTTATGTAAAAATGTCCTCAACTACCTACACAAAATCAACATCACTAAACCAGAGTTGTTATTGGGYGGCAAGGCCCTTGATTCYCCAAGCAAGCATGCAAAGAAGATGACAACACTAAGAYGYATTGGTGAAGCRAGGCGTTTGAAAGATGTTGAAGAAAAYTGGGCAGCAGAAATCAGCTGGTTGATGCCTGAGGTTTGTGATGAAGTTATACCTGGATATGACACAATTTCAACAGCAAATACAAAGAAAAATGCTAAAAAGGTTACTCTTTCCAAGTGTAAACCAATATCTAGGAATCAAGCAATGAGAKTGCTTGTSAGGACATTAGCAAGACGRCCTGGTATGATACAAAATAAGCAACAAGCACAAGYAGAACAGAAAACAAACAATTCTGTGGAACAACAGGGCAAAGAAAACAACCAAAGAACCAATGGTAACAATAATGAGTTGAGCAGAATTGATGAAGAGAAGGAAAAGATGAATGMATGTCATTGCAGCCAAGAACAATGCAAAGAAAGTACTCAAAGAATTGAAGATACACTTCATGAAGTTGGAAAAGCAAGTGAACTTTCCTGTCAAGAACAACTAATGATTGGCTGCAAACAAGATTCATTGATTACCGAGAAGTTAAAAGAAATATGCACCAAAATCACATGTAATTGTGTTGTAGTGTAAACAACAGAACTATCAAAGGACACTAATATACATTATTTATTATTAAATACGTATTTTTATTTAATTTTTTTCAGTTTTTCATTATTTTACTGAAAAGAATTCACATGTGATATATTATGTATGATAAATACATTTCATAAGTAATAAAAATATTAATTTTCCCAAAACACAATGATTATATTTTCTATGGTGAAACGTAATTCAATACTTRTTAGTGTGAGCAATCTGTATTGTGTTAATTTGGTCTAATTTATTCTTGTGGAACTGAAAGGCTGGTGTTACCCATGATGCACAAGAGCACTGCATCCCTGAAAACAATGACAGATATACCAAATATGGACATTAGATATACCTTATAAATCACAAACTCTAAAGTCTTAATGACTAAAACCCATTCTCATACCCAGTTCCTTCTCAGTTTCCCAATGGAAAATCTAAGGCTGTTTTGGAGATGAGTGAGTCTTTGATTTGATTGGTTCACAAATTCCCATGATCCATCAGTATGAATATATCATACGGCCCACTGATTCTAGGTCATCAGGTATTGTCTCCAATTAACCAGAGCTGTGGATTTTCCGTTGGGAACTGAGAACGATCTGGGTACGAGAATGGACTGAAACCTTACCAACCACTTACAACACCTTACCAACTAAACTCTGACAACATATCAACCACTTACACTGACACCTTACTATTACGTGACACCTTACCAACCACTTATTGACACCTTACAACCACTTATAACACCTTACCAACTAAACTCCGACAACATATCAACCACTTAGACTGACATCTTACTATTACTTACGTGACATCTTATCACCTTACCATCCACTTGCTGACACCTTATCATCCACTTACTGACACCTTACCATCCACTTACTAATGCCTTACTAACCAAATATCAGTAACATGCATACAAGGATTCAGTAGCTGATTGATATGTCAGTAAGCTGTTGGCATTATCTATATTACCTGACCAATTAAAAGNATTACATTTTAGGTTCTTGAACTGGTTTAGACTGCTGGCACCATGATTTACAATACCAAGAATCCTTTAATATTTATTTCTACTGTACAATATACAATAGTTTTACTATGCTGGACATTAATTCATTCATGACTGACATCTGTACCACAAACTCTCTGTAAATAATGACTTTTGTATTCTTGGGTTACCTGTGGCATGTGATGTTTGTACACTTGGGTTACCTGTGGCATGTGATGTTTGTACTCTTGGATTACCTGTGGCATGTGATGTTTGTACACTTGGGTTACCTGTGGCACGTGATGTTTGTGGTCTTGGATTACATTCGATGTGTAATTTTTGAGCATTTGGGGTATTTACTACTGACATGTATTCAAATGAAATACATTTATCAGGTTTCAATTTATCAGGACATTTGAATAATGCTTTGCATACTGAATCTTTTGTAATAATGTAATTAGCCTCTCCCATGGGAATGAATATTATCTGAAAGAATGGAAAATGCAAACAGCATTCTGGTAATAAAATCATGCCATCTTGAAAAATTCAGCTGGCAAAATAAAAGATATTTGCAAAAGTTTGAGAAATTTGTAAATAATGTCTTAACCATGGGCCTCTATGCCCTTATTAAAATATTAGTTTCCTCTTGTAGCTGTTACAAGGCTCGTTTTGCAAAAAGATAAATAACACCGTAAAAAAAGTAGGTGAAATAACTTACTGATGTTTCAGATGTAAGGCAGTTTAACATCCTCTGCCAGCAGACTCAGGAGATTTTTTGTCACTGCATTCTTCAAATTCAGTTTCACAATAATCATCATACACAAGAAGTTCTGGAGATTTGCTCTGGAAAATTGTCTGAAGACCAAACTCGTGAAAAATATGGGACAAGGCTTCTTCAGTTAATACATTTCGGTATACTCTTTACACTTACTTGTACAAAGCAACCATTGAAACTGATACATTTAAAATGTTTGTTTTTATTAAAGAAAAACCTAGTTTTGTCCTTGCATCAAAAAGCAGGAACGAGAGATAAATAATAAACTTTTGATTTCGGTAAGTTTTGCATTCGTGCGTAGACGGGTATGTAGCAAGAACAGTACTTCAGAATAATAATTATTAGAGTTTACACAAAATACTACGACCAATAGAAACATGTACAYAGCACAAACAGAGTGCTTTTCAAATTATTTTTACCGCGAAAGTCAATATTCTTTGGGTCGTGCAGCTTTCATTCACTACGATGTTGATGATCAACACAACAACTCAGTGTCTATTGCTCAGYGTCCAAACGAGAAGACAGCAAATATTGTTCATATTGTTCCTAATTTCATTATTTTACAATTCATCTTTGTCTTCTGTTGGTTTTTCCTCCTCAGTTGGAGGAGCTCCTCCTTGTTGTTGTTCTCCTCCCTGTTGTCCTCCAGCACCTTGATATAATTTGCTTACAATTGGCTGTACAACATCCTCAAGTTCCTTCTTTTGTTTCTTGAGATCATCTGTTGAAGCTTCATGATTTTTGTCCATCCATGAGATAGTTTTTTCAATGGCATCGTTGATTGTTTTCTTATCTTCCTCGGATAGTTTTCCTCCAAGTTTGTCCTTATCACCAACTTGGTTCTTCAAAGAGTACGTGTAGCTCTCCAATTCATTCTTAGCCTCAACTTTTTCTTTGACAGCTTTGTCCTCATCGGCAAACTTCTCGGCATCGTTAACCATACGYTCAATATCTTCTGGAGTGAGTCTGTTCTGGTCGTTKGTGATTGTGATCTTTTCYTTGTTWCCTGTGCCTTTGTCCTCAGCTGATACTCTAAGAATACCATTGACATCAATTTCAAAGGTGACTTCGATTTGAGGAACACCTCGTGGAGCAGGTGGAATGTTGTTCAAGTCGAACTTTCCAAGAAGATGGTTRTCCTTTGTCATTGGTCTTTCACCCTCRAATACTTGAATTGTGACAGTTTGTTGGTTGTCRGCTGCAGTTGAGAAGATYTGTGATTTCTTGGTTGGGATGACAGTGTTACGTCCAATAAGCTTAGTCATGACACCTCCAACAGTCTCAATACCRAGGGTTAGTGGGTTGACATCCAACAAGACAACTTCTCCAGTGTCTTCTTCTCCTCCAAGGACACCAGCTTGGACTGCGGCACCATAAGCAACAGCTTCATCAGGGTTGATTCCTCTGCTTGGCTCYTTACCATCRAAGAAGTCTTTTACGAGTTTCTGGATTTTAGGGATACGAGTAGAGCCACCAACAAGTACAATCTCATGGATATCTTTCTTTTTGAGGTCAGCATCTTCAAGGACTTTCTTGACAGGTTTGAGTGTTGATTTGAAAAGGTCCTATCAGAGATAAAAAGAAGAAAAAGTAAGTAAGTGAAAGACTTATTCTTTCTTTTATCTATATCACTTATGTTTTCTTGCTACCATGGCAACAAAAATTCATGAATACCACAGTTAAGTTGAACTTAGCCAAACTTGTTTTTCAGCTCATTTCTTTGTTATACAGTACCTAAATCATGATTTTTAATACTTACAGCATTGAGTTCTTCGAAACGAGCTCTGGTGAGAGTCTCTGAGAAGTCTTCACCATCAAAGAAAGATTCAATCTCAATTCTTGCTTGATGTTGTGCACTAAGAGCTCTCTTGGCCTTTTCAACTTCACGACGGAGTTTCTGTACAGCTCTGTTGTCTTTGCGGATRTCCTTGCCCTTCTTCTTCTTGTAGAGCTTGATGAAGTGATCCATCACACGTTGGTCAAAATCTTCACCTCCTGTAGAGAAACAAACATGTAGATTTGATTAGACTCAAACAATTAAAYGAGCATTATTAATATCAAAGTTTATATCAAGCTGCACTGCCAAAATCACAGCATAAAAATAATAGTTAACACATTATATCAGGACAATAATTGCAAAAAAATGTTGAGAACTTAATTTTGCATCCATCAAATCTTAAGGTTTCTTGAGATCGATGGCAATCTCTTTTTAGAAGTACAGTCATAGATAGGAACTTACCAAGATGAGTGTCACCATTAGTTGAAACTACTTCAAATACTCCATTRTCAATGGTCAAAAGAGAGACATCAAAGGTACCACCACCAAGATCAAAGACAAGGATGTTCTTTTCTCCTTCTTTCTTGTCCATRCCATAAGCAATAGCTGCAGCAGTTGGCTCRTTGATGATTCTCATGACATTCAGACCGGCAATAACACCAGCATCCTTGGTTGCTCGTCTTTGGGCATCATTGAAATAAGCTGGGACAGTGACGACTGCATGTGTGACTTTCTTTCCAAGGTAGGCTTCAGCAGTTTCCTGGATAAGTAAAAATTGTTTTTAGAATTTAAACAAGTTTAAATAAACAGAACTTGCCATGCAACCTAATTAGGTCAAATTGAATTTCACAACCTGTTGGGTWAGTATAAACAAATAATAAATCTACATTTGACCTAGCATTGTACCCCAATAACCTGTTGATGGTGACACGTACGAATTCACTCAGCTGATTTCAAAAATGTTATGCCTGGTTAACTTTGAACAATTACCTTCATTTTTGTGAGGACCATAGCACTGATTTCTTCGGCRGCAAAAGTCTTTTTATCACTACCAACATTGACCTGGACATGAGGTTTCTTGTTCTTTTCGATTACCTTGAAAGGGAAGTACTTCAGATCGTGTTGGACAGAGGGATCATCCCAAGAACGACCTATGAGACGCTTGGCGTCGAAGACAGTGTTCTCTGGGTTCGAGGTCAGCTGATTTTTAGCACCGTCGCCAATCAATCTTTCTCCTTCTGGAGTGAAAGCCACGTACGATGGGGTAATACGATTTCCCTGATCGTTTGCAATGATTTCAACTCGACCATTCTTGAAAACACCAACACTGCATGAAGAGAAAAAGAAAATTATTATCGATCAAAAACCTCGTGCCAAACAAAACGATCGCTTTTGTATACTTGATTACTTTCGATTTGGATAGCGACAATTAATTATGATCAAGCAGTAAGAAAAATACTATGTAGTCACTTCTTCGTAATCACTGTTTCACAATGTGCAAGCCAACGACAAGTAACCTTAAATCTGAGCAAAAAAAATTGACAGCTGCTTCAAAACTTCTCGATCTAAACGATCTAAACAAAAACTATAAGAAAACAYAGCTATCGAGATAAAGTAAACTCCATAGAGAAGCGTGACTTACCAAGAGTAAGTAGTTCCTAAATCGATTCCAATAACTGTTCCTACTTTTTCCTTTTCGGCTTTTTTATCGTCCTTCTTCTTCTCTTCCTCGGCTCCTTGGACTAGAACTAAACTACTGGCTAAAGCCAGAGTACAAAAAACTGAAAAAAACTTCATACTAAATATTTTTTCTCACAAAATACYGGTAAAAAATCTCTAAAACTGTTTCTGTTGGTAAGTGAATGAAAGTCTGAGTTGAATTTGTGACACTGAAGGATTCATATTCGCTTTACCTCCACGCGTGGCCCGCGCTGATTGGTTCAGCCTTTTCCCGTGTCTAGCTGTGATTGGTCCACGAAAAATCATTGCGTCATGATGACCCGAAGAYGTTCCGAATGGTTTCGGGACTTTTCTAACATGTCGTGGCATCGCGACGCGATGACAACAAATTTTGATTCACGCGCGAAATATTTTTCTAAAATTGCATAATATTCTTTTTACCCCACTTCAGGTAATACAAACTCAAAAAGTTTTTTACTTAAATATGAGTCTTGAAAAATAGAAAAATATATGATCAAGAAACGACAAAATTTGAATTTCTAYATTTATAAAATGTTGGTTTTATACACTATGAAAAACATTTTTGTGGGAAATGCATTCATGCTTTTACTTTGTTTTTTGGTGCTTATCAAAGCGAGAAAAAATATTTTTTTGGTTGATTTAACCCAATATATATTTTCTGTTTTAAACTGTGATAATACAAAATAACCAAATTTATCATAATTTTGTCTACATTTCTCCTGTATTATCGGAAGATCTCCCCTGATTGTACAGCGGGGTCGGGTAAAATAAACACAGTGTTAGTTGATCTTTCGGATAGTATTCGGAAAATTATCGTATCATATTTGGATTCCGAGGATTGCAAACGAGGTCACCTCSGTCACCTCGTGGTACTTGATCAGAGAGAAGCCATTGACCGGCGGAGGTGAGTCTTCGATTTATTCCTACATTTTGTGTAATTTCTTCGTATTTATTTTAAAATATACTTATCTCCGTTTGTGTATCATGCTTTCAAGCAAMTAAGAACGTTGTTCTTAGACGAAATGGGTTGCAATTGAGCTTGGAAATTGTAGAACATAATTTGTTGGGTAAAACCACGTGGTTTTCTCTAACCAAAGACTAATAAGTTTACTTATCAAGGTTTTGCACCTAAATTTATCATTGTGATCACAAAAATGATGATAGTTATATTGTTGGGAATCTCTCTGAGGTCAACCAATGAAAGAACAATATTACTGACACAACATTGATCACAAATGTAAACTTTCAGAAACCTTATGCTAAACAGCCTAAAATATACTATAAAGTAAAATGTTATGTATTTAAGTTGCAGAAGATACTCCAAGCTTTCTAAATCATGATGTTTATTAAAATGACAGAAAGAGGGAAGATATGCATTGGACCCCTGCAATGTAAAGGTATGCCTCTCATCTTGCATTCTTCAATAGAGGGTGGATCCATGGTTGACATAGCCTCCCCTCAYATGTAAAAAAAATWTTATGACCCTACTATGGTCCAGGGTTTTCTACAAGGGAGGCTCACTCAATCTATATAAACTACATRAAGGTAACTAGTACTATGAAAATTGTTGAAAAAAAGACWAAAGTATCTGAAGCTAAGGTCAGCAAACTTTCCCTGRATCTGCCCTKTAGACGTTATAACCAATCTAATATGCAAATGATGAATTCTACATGTAAATAATGATATTCAARTGATTGTTGATCGATAGGCCTGATGCATATTATAGGATAACTTTAGGAAATGACTATCTAAGTATGTAGTTGT